AAGGAAAGGAAAGGAAAGGAAAGGAAAGGAAAGGAAAGGAAAGGAAAACCTGCAGGTTTGAAGGGTTAAATTGGGATGAGGGAGAAACCCCAAAATGCCTCTTGAGGAGAACGTGGTTAATTTAAAAAGGGATTTTCCAAGCAGGATTTGCTCCCAGAAAGGTGCAGCTTTTCATTAATAACCTTTCCAACCTTTCCCCAGCAGAATCCACGGCTTGGAATCCCGGCTTTCCCGTGGCTTTCTGCTGGAAGTTGCAACCACCTGGAAGCAGAAGCCGAGGAAAAGCAGCGGCTGCAGCGTCACCAGATAATCATCCAGTTAAACTCGAGCTCCCAACGGCCTCCTGAGCACGAATCCAGAGGGGGATTCCCTGGGAATACCAACCTGGCGATGTATCGGCAGGAGGAGGATCGGTTCAGGCCGGAGGGAGAGATGCCAGGACTGGGTGTGGAGTGCAACCTCAGAGCTGGGAATGAGAGAAAAACATCGATAAATCCTGGGAATCGAGGCATTTTATAGGAATTCATAGAGCCCTCGGGATCTTTGATCCACAAAAATGATCAGAGGGAGGAAAGGCTGGGAGAGGTGGGAATGTCTGGCCTGGAGAAGGGAAGGATCCAAGGAGACCTGAGAGTCCCTTTCAGAGCCTAAAGGGACTCCAGGAGAGCTGGAGAGGGACTTGGGACAAGGGATGGAGGGACAGGACACAGGGAATGGCTTCCCAGGGTTAGATGGGACATTGGGAAGGAATTCTTCCCTGGGAGGGTGGGGAGGGGCTGGGATGGAATTCCCAGAGAAGCTGTGGTTGCCCCATCCCTGGAAGTGTCCAAGGCCAGGTTGGAGCAACCTGGGATAGTGGGAGGTGTCTCTGCCCAAGGCAGGGTGTTGGAATGAGATGAGCTTTCCCCTCCCTTCCCACCCAAACCATTCCACGATTCCCGGACCTCAACGTTCCACCCAAAGCAGCTCCCAGATGGAGCATCCCGGACAGATGAGGATGCTCCCCATGGACCCCCACACAAGGCTGGGACTTTCAGGAGAGCCCCAGCACCACAAGTGCTCCTTTCCAGCTCCAAACCCCACAGGGATCTTCCCCTTTTCATCTCCCAAACGAACCCAAACACATCCCGGAGCAGCTCCCGCAAAACTCCAGGGAAAACTGGCTCTGACCGGCACACACGGAATCAAATCAGCCTTGACCGGGGCAGGAAGGAACGAGTCAGCAAACAAGGCTGTATCCAACTTTTCCAGGTGGTGGGAAGCGCCTCAGTCACTCACCTGCCAGCGGGAATGAGCGATTGGAATTTGATGGCTCGCCTGCCGGTGTCGGCACAACCCCAGCTGTTCCCTCCACGCATCAAATTCCATCCAGGAACCACCATAGGAAGGTTTTATTCCCTGTTTGTTTTTTTTTTATCTTCCCCCTCTTCCCGGGCTGTGGGAGCAGCTTTCCCGCTTGGATTTAGTTCTACGACAACTCCGGGTCGCTCCAGAGATGTGCCTGGATTTCTGGTTTGACCTCCCAGAGACGGATCCAGGTTAAAATCCCATCAATCTGGAGCATCCCCAGCCCCCCTCTGGAATGATGTTTAATGCTCCAAGCTCAGCAGGATGGGATACACCAGGAATCCGCTCCCCAGGGCAGCAGAAAATCCCAGTAAATATTTAATATTCCGGAATAAAAGCGGAGACTGGGGACGATCATGGAATGGTTAAGGTTGGATCACAGAATCATGGAATGGTTGGAGTTGGATCACAAAACTA